CCCTCAGCACCCCATTGCTGGTCGTAAAAGGCGACCTAATTGGGCAACCCGTTTGCCGTGGGTTGCGCCCCTGTGTCGGCGGAGGACGGGATTCTGGTGGTTGAGGGCACTGGAGCCAGGAACCGGTGTTCCTTTTGCCCAACACACCACTTCGACCCTTACTTCGTCGGGTGGTAGAATGTGCCCGATTCTATCAATCGGCTAGTCACGCCATGCCCTGTGTATGAAACACGCTCATATAGGAATATTTTGATTGATGTGAATATTGGGTATGCATGTTTTAAATGAAATTCTATGATATTAACTTGCCTAGAGTCCTATGCCAGAAGGCGGTGGCTCATGGGCCATTCTGGTACTTTTGATCTCTGAGGGGGCACGGGTGGCCCAGCTATCTAAGGCGCCGCGATTCGCTGTGCAGAGTTGCGTCCCTTGGACACGCCAGAAACCTATGATTGTGGGTTCGAATCCCGGTTCGCCCCGATTATGTTTCTAGGTTTGTCAGCACCATACCCATGCTCGTGGGTTTCACCGAATTGGTAAACGTCTGAGACTTGCATCACTTCGGGCTTTCCTACCTCATTAAGCTGACACCCCGCGATATAACTGGAATACTGTTAAAAGCGGGGTTAAACACAACTCACTCACTCACTCACTTCTGACCTCTGAGTTCTATATGTCTTCAATTTCATGTCATGGGCCGAACTAGCCTGGCATTTTATTTGATAGACAAGTGCAGCTATTCATGTTGTTCTTACTGGGGTATACTACTTCTGTATCCCTGACGTTTGCATGTTGGAGATCCGGTGCAATACAACAACACTCTTTGTAGCACTCCAAGATGGGGAGCAGGGTAGCTGTTTCTGTACGATAAACTTCACATTCTTGGGCGCGGTTTCTAGTTGTTGAATCAAGAAATGAATCACCTTTAAAAATAAATCCTTTTGCCATATCAAAAGCCATTGCAGGTATATGTGGTGAAGTCAAGAATGTTTCACGGCTCCGGAGCGGTTCTCTTTTGGTAGAGTGTGCACGGAGACAGCAAGCTATCAATCTTTTGAGATGTACTACATTCGCAAACACGGAAGTTGCTGTCTCTGCGCACAGAACGCTAAACTCTAGTCGAGGCATCATCCGCGACAGAGCCCGTTGTCTGGCAGACATGACAGAAGCGGAAATTCTTGATGAACTCAATGAGCAACATGTTACTTCAGTGAAACGTTTCACTAGAAAGGATGGAGATAACATTGTCCCAACAAATGCATATTTGTTCACTGTTTTACTGTCGACCATACCGCAATCTATAAAGGCAGGCTATTTTAACATCGGAGTGGAGGTGTATTTCCCCAATCCACTCCGATGTAACAAGTGTCAGAAGTTTGGACACGGCTCCAAATCATGCGATCAGCTGATTGTTTGTCACCGTTGTGGTGGAAAACATGACGCCTCAGATTGTACAGCTGACCCCAAATGGGCGTATTGTATGGGTAAACATGTTGCGTCTTTAAAATCATGTCCTCTTTGGCAATATGAAAAAGATGTCTTTACAGTCAAATGTCAAAACAACAGGAGGCTAAAAAAGTCATTGCCAGACGGTTGGCAGACGGGTTGGTGGATAGATAGGTTGGTGGGTAGATGGGTTGGTGGGTAGAGGGGTTGGTGGGTAGAGGGGTTGGTTGGTAGAGGGGTTGGTGGGTAGATGGGTTGGTGGGTAGATGGGTTGTGGGAAAAGGGGTTGAGGGGTAGAGGGGTTGGTGGATAGAGGGGTTGATGGATACATGGGTTGGTGGGTAGAGGGGTTCGTGGTTAGATGGGTTGGTGGGTAGATGAGTTGTGGTTTGCAGGGTTGGTGGTTAGATGGGTTGGTTGGTAGAGGGGTTCGTGGGTAGACGGATTGGTTGGCAGACGGGTCGGTGGATAGATAGGTTGGTAGGTAGAGGGGTTGGTGGGTATAGGGGTTGGTTGGTAGAGGGGTTGGTGGGTAGATGGGTTGGTGGGTAGATGGGTTGTGGGAAAAGGGGTTGAGGGGTAGAGGGGTTGGTGGATAGAGGGGTTGATGGATACATGGGTTGGTGGGTAGAGGGGTTCGTGGTTAGATGGGTTGGTGGGTAGATGAGTTGTGGTTTGCAGGGTTGGTGGTTAGATGGGTTGGTTGGTAGAGGGGTTCGTGGGTAGACGGATTGGTTGGCAGACGGGTCGGTGGATAGATAGGTTGGTGGGTAGATAGGTTGGTGGGTAGAGGGGTTGGTGGATAGATGGGTTGGTGGGTAAATGGGTTGGCGGGTAGAGGGGTTGGTGGGTAGATGGATTGTTGGATAGATGTGTGGATTGATGAATGGGTTGTTGGGCAGAGGGATTGGTTGGTAGATGGGTTGGCGGGTAGATGGGTGTGTCGGTAGACGGGTTGGTGGGTAGATGGATTGGTGGGTAGAGGGGTTGGTTTGTAGATGGGTTGGTGGGTAGAGGGGTTGGTAGGTAGAGGGGTTGGTTTGTAGATGGGTTGGTGGGTAGAGGGGTTGGTTGGTAGAGGGGTTGGTTTGTAAATGGGTTGGTGGGTAGAGGGGTTGGTAGGTAGAGGGGTCGGTTTGTAGATGGGTTGGTGGGTAGAGGGGTTGGTGGGTAGATGGGTTGGTTGGCAGACGGGTTGGTGGATAGATGGGTTGGTGCGTAGAGGGGTTGGTGGGTAGACGGATTGGTTGGCGGACGGGTTGGTGGATAGATGGTTTGGTGGGTAGAGGGATTGATGGGTAGACGGGTTGGTTGGTAGAGGGGTTGGTGGGAGGATGGGTTGGTGGGTAGAGGGGTTGGTGGGTAGAGGAGTTGGTGGGTAGATGGGTTGGTGGTTAGATGGGTTGGTGGGAAAAGGGGTTGTCGGGTAGATGGGTTGGTGGATACATGGGTTGTTGGGTAAATGGGTTGGTGGTTAGATGGGTTATTGGGTAGATGGGTTGTTGGGTAGAGGGGTTGTGGTTAGATGGGTTGGTTGGTAGAGGGGTTCGTGGTTAGATGGGTTGGTGGGTAGATGAGTTGTGATTTGCAGGGTTGATGGTGAGATGGGTTGGTTGGTAGAGGGGTTGGTGTGTTGATGGGTTGGTGGGTAGATGGGTTGGTGGGTAGGGGGTTGGTGGGTAGGGGGTTGGTTGGTGGATGGGTCGGTGGTTAGATGGGTTGCTGGTTAGATGGGTTGGTGGGTAGATGGGTTGGTGGGTAGAGGGGTTGGTGGGTAGAGGGGTTGTGGATAGATGGGTTGGTGGGTAGATGAGTTGTGGTTTGCTGGGTTGTTTGTTGGAAGAATGGGTTCGTGGATAGATGTGTTAGTGGGAAGATGAGTTCGTGGATAGATGGGTTGGTGGATAGATGGATTGTTGGATAGATGTGTGGATTGATAGATGGGATGTTGGGCAGAGGGGGTGGTGGGTAGATGGGTTGGCGGGTAGATGGATGGGTCGGTAGATGGGTTCGTGGGTAGATGGATTGGTGGGTTGATGGGTAGATGTGTTCGTGGATAGATGTGTGGATTGATAGATGGGTTGTTGGGCAGAGGGGTTGATGGATAGATGCGATGGTGAATATATGAGTTGTGGGTGGATGGGTTGTTGGTCGTATAGGTTGGTGAGTTGGTGGGTTGTTTGATCGATGGATTGGTGGCTAGATGTGTTTATGGTTAGATGCGTTCATAAACGAGTTGGTGGGTGCGTCCGAATCTGCGTAGAGATACGTCATGTTGATTGAGCATTGAGCTGCACTCACGCTTGTTAAGCAATACTGGTATCTTCCGGGATCTGTCTGAAACAGAGCGGCGTGGTCCCCCCAGCACAGAATGTCAAGTTGGTGGCATTCCACGCACGCTTAATAAAGAGTGTCGATATCGCCCTGAATCTGTTTAATATCTGAAACCGGCAGCGGTATGAACCCCTCAGTTTATTTGCGGAAAATAGTCGAGAAATGAGTTTTGACAGCCGCTCTGATGTGTGTAATTTATTTGAAAAGTGTTTAGTTTCGATTTGCCTCAGTCAAGACGGTAATAACCAAATCAACATTAATATTCATTCATTGGATCAAAACTGTATTTTGACAAAAACTGTACCCCCCGTGGACACAGCCAATGTTTATGATGAAAACCTACTGAATATGATGTTGTGGTAAGATGCGTCGACTGATTGTGACAACGTGTCCCCATGGAGGAAGGTATTGGCCATGCACCCAGTTACTGGTTTGCCTGATCTGAAATGATTATTTACAGACTCACTCACTCACTCACTCACTCACTCACTCACTCACTCACTCACTCACTCACTCAAAATGGTCATCCAATGTGGTTGTTGATGATTATTCTATACTGCAATATTTTCCTGTTATGAAAGTGAACACGGATGTTGTCTCTTGTGCTATTTTATGTACATAAATCTCCCTCGTTATGCTGGCGGTTTAAATAACATGTGCTTTAACAACTGACACTGAAAGCAGTGACTACGCCTTGTTGGTCCAGGGCGTTACACAGACGTCTTGATAAGTGTTTCTTTCCTGTGTACATCTTTCATCCTCAGCAAAGAGTCGTAGAGGTTAAATAATATCCACTATAAAATACTTAAACCATTCCAGTGTACCTATGTGTTTTGACCCGGCAAAGATCTGGGTTAGGATTGGTCTTCAGCAACCCATGCTTGTCGTGAGGAGTGACTAACGGGATCGGGTGGTCAGGCTCGCTGACTTGGTTGATGCATGTCATCGTATCCCAATTGCGCAGATCGGTGCACTTAAGATGTCAACCAATCTATTATTTACATATGGCCGTCATATAGCTAGAATATTGCTGTGTGCGGCATGAATAACAAACAAACAAACATATATGTGAAAACTACATTGTGCTTATTTGCTCAGTATGTTTGTTCACGTAACATGGGTTTGACATCACAACAATGCGAAGAATGATCCTATCATGGAAGACATTATAGTTAATACGCTGTTACTCCGAAGGAAGAGTTATATTATGAAATAAGATATCACACGTCTGTTGTTAGGACCACGTCTTCCACTGGAGACAGATAAGTGTCACCTGTTCTCGGGTCTTCAGTGACTACGTCAGGGATCAGATGGGTGTAGGACCGGGAACTGGACGACGTTGTACTTTCTGATGACGTGTCATCCCCTCTGTGTACAATTGCCGGGGCCGCTGGGAAGACGTCAGCTATCACCGACATGCCGAGATCTAGGTCTTCTTCAGGGTTACCATTTTGTATCTCGGGGTCGCAGGATCGGGAAGTGGATGAGGATGAAATCTCTGATGACGAATCATCACCTCTGTGTACAATGGCCGGCGCTGCTGGGAAGACACCAGCTATCACCGGCATGCCAAGATCTCGCACTTCTTCATAGTTTTCTTGGCAGCCATTTTGTATCTGCCCGCCGGCGTCCATGTCCTCCTCTTCTATGTCACAGTACTTGTGCCACGCCTGGTACTCCACAGAAGGAGGCTGTACCGCGTCATCTCCCGGTCTGTCCCTGGGACAACAGAGAAAGAGCAGTACGTGTTTTCTGTTAAACAAACCCAGAGAGAGATCGTGCGTGTTGATTTACGCCGCACTCAGCAATATTCCAACTATATGACGGTGGCTTGTAAATACAACTATCTGGTCCAGACAATTCAATATCTGATATGAGCATCGATCCACGCAAGGTTGCTTCAGGACTATTCTAATTTGGAATCCCTCAGGCTTGTTTTGCAGTATGCATCAATATATCGTCACTTACATGAACGTGTCCATGGACGATCATGTATTACTAACCTTCTTGCAGCAAGACCCTTCCTGTAGCAGATGTAGTGTGATACCAGGACACCAAGGATGAACACCACACAGCCGGTCGGGAGTCCGATGTTGACACCATTTGACTTGGAATCTGTTGAAGAATCTAAACAATATAAGGGTAACGCTATTTTTGCAGAAGCATGGGGTCTTCCATTAACTAGGGGCGGTCGGGTAGCCTAGTGGTTAAAGCGTTCGCTCGTCACGCCGAAGACCCGGGTTTGATTCCCGACATGTGTACAATGTGTGAAGCCCATTTCTGGTGTCCCCCGCCGTGATATTGCTGGAATATTGCTAAAAGCGGCGTAAAACCATACTCACTCACTCACTCACTCACTCTTCCATTAACTTCTAAGACCCACGTCACGTACCCCTATCCTATGACGTCACCTAACAACGGGTGTGATAATGGCCCGTCGTCAAGCAATATGGTGGCATTATCAAGTTACAGTGGCCCGCTCATCTGTGATAATATGCGGGCGGTTAAATGATGATTCTATCCATTTTAGCTATATTGTAAATATAATGTAGGGAAGGATTGTGGTGACATTAGTGGCCTCAGATGGTTTGACCGGTTGTGGGGCGGCGGTGGACAGATGGGTTTTTGATCGGTTGTTAGTTAGATGGTTGAATGGGGGTAAATGGATGAGGTGGAAGCTAGATGAATTTGTGGCGGGTTGGTGGGTAGATGGGTTGGTGATGATGTGGGTTACCTGGCAGATGCGTTCATGATTAGATTGGGTGATGGGTGTATGGGCAGATGCGTTCATGATTAGATTGGGTGATGGGTGTATGGGCAGATGCGTTGATGATTAGATTGGGTGATGGGTGTATGGGCAGATGCGTTCATGATTAGATTGGGTGATGGGTGTATGGGGAGATGCGTTGATGATTAGATTGGGTGATTGGTATATGGGCAGATGCGTTGATGATTAGATTGGGTGATGGGTGTATGGGCAGATGCGTTGATGATTAGATTGGGTGATGGGTGTATGGGCAGATGCGTTGATTATTAGCTTGGGTGATGGGTAATTGGGCAGATTAGTTGATGATTAGATTGGGTGAAGGGTATATGGGCAGATGTGTTGATGATTAGATTGGGTGATGGGTAATTGGGCAGATTAGTTGATGGATAATTGGGTTGATGGGTGGGTGATTTAGGGTAGATTGTTTGGTGATGGTTTAGTAAATACATGTGTTGATTGTCAGATGGGTTGATAGATACATGGATTGATGAGTTGGTGGTTCGATTAGTTGATGGAAAGATGGGTTCGTGGTTAAATGGTTTGTTTGATAGATTTTTTTTTATAATGGGTTTGATAAATTATGTTTATTATGGGTCAAATGGGTTTAATAATAGTTGAATGGGTTGATGGTGAGGTGATGTGGGTGACAGACGTTTTGGTGAATAGATGGTTGTGGTTAGAAGGGTTCAAGGATGGCTGTTTGTGGGTAGACGTTGAGTAGTCAGATGGGTTGATGGGTTGATGGATAGATGGGTTTTTTTCTAGATGGATAGGTTGGTGGAAGGGTTAGTAGGGAGACGGATTGGTGGTAGATATGGTTACAAACTAACACAATATGTTAATAAAACGCGAGAAACAATAGGTTTAGTTGAGGTGATAATTGTCTTTTTGACAAAGTATTTTGGAGTACCTGTTTCACATGTCTGTGCATCAAGACAATAGTCCCTGGAACAGTTGCTGGTACAGGAAGGTTTACATCCACGTCCGCTGACGTCACATCCGTTGACGCAAGCGCCAGTCATCTGATCACAGATCCCCTCACGGCAAACCTCACAGCTGTGATTACAAAACTCACCATAATACCCTGTGGTGCATTCGCTCACACAGATCCCGTTGTGTTGGCTACAGGTGTGGTTCCTGCAGCGGTCACAGGGCTGACAGTCGCGCCCGAAATACCCAGGTCTACATCCGTCCACACACGCACCTGCAGCATCACACCTTCCCCCACTACAACCTGCACTGCATGGAGAGGAGCACCGTGGACCATACCAGTCTCCCACACAGCCATGGAGACACTCGCCACTCTGGAGGCGACACTCAGATTTACAAAACACTGAAGCACTTTCACCATGGACCAGACATCTGATTGTGTCATTTGTGTTGGAGCTCAATCGACAGTGTTGGTTGCACACCTCAAGACAGTACACATCGTTTATTGTATAATTATTCTCACATTGAATGTCACAGTTTACACCACCATAACCAGGTATACAACCTTCGGTGCATTCCTCAATGCCATTCCCAGTCCCCTTACACGCATTATTCTTGCAGGCTGGGTTACATGGTGATTTACACTTTCTGCCGAAGTATCCAGTGTGACACTCGGTTGTACATTGTCCTGTCTCGTCGCAGCCGGAACACGCCTGGTTGTCCGCGCACTGTGCTGTTGTAGAAAATAGATAGAAAACATTAACAATTCACCCCGTCATAGTCCGTGACTCCTGTCGTAAATGTATGTTATGTGTGTAGTATAAAACACGCCAGACGGTAGTTATGAGATCTCAAACCAGTTGTTTAATCCCAGGGTAAGTGAATTATCTAACATATACACCGAAAAGAGAAACAACACTTATGAACATTTTTATGATTCAAACATACTTTCCATGAACCTTAGGCAACGGGCGTAAAATATTTGTTGCTGGCGTACGAGGACAAGTGACATTCTGAAAGGCATGCATTCATTTCATTACATTGTGTTCAAATGCAAACTTAATTTTTTGCCAGAAATTTTCATATTTTACAATATCAACGGAAGTTGTTTGAATGAAATTCCCTGGATATTATAACATCCCTGATTATGAGATTTTTCCCGACTGGAGAACAATAGGATGACGTCACTGGAGGTTTATAAAGAAAGACAACGCAACTATTCGTATTGTACACTGCCTACAAACAATGCTCATGCGTACTTGACACGGCGCTGATAGTTGCTTCCAATAGGACAAACGCATAATATTTGCAAAATAAATTGCCCTTTTGAAACACAAAAACATGAATAAATGATCAAAATGAATTCTTCTCCACCCTCATTGACAAACTAGATATCGAAAGTTTTGTTCAAATTGAACTTATGGAAGAAAATGATATGCTCGCACTGTTCTGGGGCTCATTAAACATACAATCTGGAATTATTAACCAGTGTACATGGGAAAACATATCATTAATACTCTGTGAATATGTCTTAAATTTCAGAAATGTATCAGATTGACCCCAAATTAATCTGCTTTATCGTAATAGTGCCCACTTGTCTGCATAGTTAATGACGAAAGTGTGTGTGGCTGCTTGTACTAAAATTAGTCCGGACTGATGCCGATTTATAGTGCTAGCTCACTGAAATACCATGCCGCAGTTTAACATGAATACCCCACTCAGACACAGTATACTGACTCCGAGCCGACCAGTCCTTGTTTTAGCCCCTTAATGCCGAGCGCCAGACAGGGTAACAACTAGTACCATCTTTAAACGTCTTTTGGTATGACGCGGCCGGGGATCGAACCCCGGACCTTCCGCGCTCTCCGGTCGGACGCTCTACCACTTGACCACGGTGGGGGTCTATATATATACGCGCAACGGATATATATATTAAGTGTTACTAGCACAATGCATTTGCTCTGAGATTTTGTAAATCTTCGGATGTAACTTCTGTAACAATGGATTGAACATTGTCGGTGTTTTCGGCCATTGTTTGTATTATTTATATTACATTGTCCAAATAATATTATCGACCTTCTTGTATATTGAGACTTGACTCTGATGAGGTGCTCGTCCGATTTAGGAATGCCAGTTATATTGATTATCTTGAATGTATATTATGCAGCTCTAATACAATGTCTGCTTATCCGTTCTTTATTCTGAGGTAAATATCTACCACAACATATAGGGGATTATTAGCTGCAGGAAAATACTGCCAGTGGTTGATTGATTGGTTATGTAAACTTGTTCCTCATTTTGTTTGCAGATGATTAGATTTTATTATCCGAGACGTCAGTCTACTTTGTTACTGTAATGAGGTAAATATGACAGAAACAAAGGTAATGGTTTTTGGTAAAAGGGGTCGGTTCAATGGCGATGACTGTTGGTCTGTTGATGACAGGGCACCTGATCATGAGGCTGTCGATAATTTAAATTGTTTAGTAAAATGTAATTACCCCTACCGGAAAGTCTAGACTTGCCAAGCTGATTTGGTTGGTAATAGTAAAAACAAGCCATACATGTTTTCTGCATAATATTAGGAAACGATATTTGTCTGCATGAACAAACGGCAAATTATTTGATACTTTTCTTACCTTTTATATCAATTACGGGTGTGGAATTTGGGGATTCTGTTAAGCTGTAGAATTAGAACGGGTAAATTTAAAAGGACAATAATACTGCAGTTTATGGGGATGTATTTAAGAGTATTAAGCTACTGGTTTACGTTTTCAAAATGACAAATTGTCTTTGAAGTTAGCCTATGGTATTTTCGCGTAACAAGTGTAGTGAGTGAGTTGGGTTTAACGCCGTTTTAACAGTATTCCAGTTATATCACGGCGTGTTCAGCTTAATGTGGGAAAGCCCGAAGTGATGCAGGCCTCAGACGTTTACCATTTCTGTGAAACCCACGAGCACGGGTATGGTGCTGACAAACCTAGAAACATAATCGGGGCGAACTGGGATTCGAACCGACAATCATAGGTTTCTAGCGTGCCCAAGGGACGCAACTCTGCACAGCGAATCGAAGTGGTTTTAGACGACTGGACCACCCGCGCCCCCTGCGAGCACTTAGAAGGTACAGCAGATGTAACAATTCAGCTTCTTTAATAACGTCTAAGCAACTTCGCAATGGAAAGGTATATCACTGGATATGAATGTACTTCATTTAAAAAAGAATTTAATATCTTAGAAAGGTCGCTTGATGACAGTAAATCATTTTGGAGCAAGATAAAATCATGAGATTTAATAGTCCATCTCAAATAAATATTGGCGCATATAATTGGTACGAGTATTTTAAAGATCTGTTTCAAGTTTCAGCTTTGCACAAAGATGAGTTTAGACCTACACTGGATGTTGATGATGCTGTTGCTGAAGCAGCACGTCATCGTGAGTCCACACTTACACAACAAGAGATTCTAAATGGTATACAATCATTTACAAGAGCGGTAAGTCTTCAGGGTTAGATATGTTATTACCGGCATCATGTAAAATAAATTATGCCATACATGGCTATTGTATTTAAATAAGATTTATTCAACAGCCCAGTTTCCACGTGCTTGGAGTAAAGGAATAATAGTGCCAATTTATAAAAATGGCCCACGAGACGATCGTTATAACTACAGGGGTATAAGTTCAAAAAGTGTATTCAACAATAATTAACTGTAGATTGAAAACATGGGCCAAAAATAATAACAAAATAGGTGAGAAACAAGCAGGTTTTAGGCCCGGATATGCAACAGTGGATAACCTGTTCACTCATACTGCCTGTATACAAACATATTTAAGTAAACGTGGAGGTTGATTTTATGCTGTATTTGTAGAGTTTAAAAAAACCTTTGATTCTGTAGACCGAAAAACACTTATGTATGTTCTCCACAAATGTGTCCTGCCTGTTCAAATGTTGTATATGATTCAGTCTATATACTCGTTACAGCATGTTACAGCATGTGTGTGGTGTAACGCTGGTTTTACGGAGTGTTTCGACTGTCAAATTGGACGAAAACAGGGTTATGTGTTAATTGTGCCCAATTAGATTTTAACTTTTACTAATGAGTTCGCAGCTGAAATTCTTGATACTTGTCGAAGAGAGGTACAATTATTCCCCGACTTACATGACTTATTTCTGTTGGTGTTTGCTGATGATGTTATTTTTATTTCTGATCGAGTAAGTGGGCTACAAGAGCAAATGAATATTCCAGATAAGTATTGTTTAGCTTGGAAGTTAAATGCTAACCTGTTGAAAACTAAAATAATTGTTTTTCTTAAAGGTGGATGTGTTAAACAATGTGAGAAATGGTATTATCATAACAAACTGTAAAATCTGAAATATGAAAATCTGAATGTACATATTGTAATCTGAACAATATCGAAGATCTGTATCATTTCACCTTTATGTATCCATCCTTAAAAGACATTCGAAAGCAATACATACCAAATTAATAATTCGACCGTCAGTCCAACAATTTATTCGCCTTATGGCAAGCCCAAATTATCTAAATTAAAAATCTGTTATGTTACTTCTCCAATATGCCCTCAAGACCAGAAATGTAGAGAGATGAAACATGTGGTTCGACTGCATCCTGTACTGTATTGTATACACTAAATGTACTTGGGCCTATGACCTATCATACAATAAACGTTTGAATTACAAAGACTTTTTCAAATGCCCTTAGTAAAGGAAGAGGTCGAAGTTACTGTAAACCGAAAACATCAGTACTTTTCTATAAAGGTTATGTTAAATCGGTAACGGAAACTCTGATGAAATACGAGTGATTCTAGAAGGAAATTAATCCTAAGTGACTCACTGTTTCTCAATTCATTTCGGATGTAAATAAGGGGGAAATTAATTTCTGACACATAATGTATTTAAACAAGTAAGGAAATGAAAACATGCATCTAATATAGGGGGAAAATCTATTTTCAATCTTTACTGGGGGACAAATACGTCAAACGGATGGGGTTGCAGTGAGACATGGGCGTGGTGGATCTAGACAATATTGTCTCATGGAAACTAGCACTAACTTATCCTCATCTTAGGTATTGTATCCAATTTTCCCTTAAGATAGCTTCCCGACCCATTACATCACGTGGATTTTCTAAATGTGGCAGACATGCCTATGATTATGACAGACATATACTTCTACACTGTGAATATTTTATAAATGATCGAAATGAATTCTTCTCCACCCTCATTGACAAACTGGATATCGAAAGTTATGTTCAAATTGAACTTCTGGAAGAAAAGGATATGCTCGCACAATTCTGGGGCTCATTAAACATACAATCTGGAATTATTAACCAGTGTACATGGGAAAACATATCATTTATACTCTGTGAATATGTCTTAAATTTCCAAAAAGGATAAGATTAGCCCCAATTTAATCTGGTGTATCGTACTCGTGCTTACTTGTGTACATAGTTAACAACGAAAATGTGTGTGTGTGTGTGTGTGTGTTTGTGTGTGTGTGTGTGTGTGTGTGTGTGTGTGTTTGTGTTTGTGTGTGTTTGTGTGTGTGTTTGTGTGTGTTTGTGTGTGTGTTTGTGTGAGTGTTTGTGTGTGTGTGTGTGTGCATGTTTGTGCGTGTTTGTGTGTGTTTGTGTTTGTATGTGTCTGTGTGTGTGTGTGTGTGTTTGTGTGTGTGTGTGTTTGTGTGTGTCTGTGTTTGTCTGTTTGTGTGTGTGTGTGTGTGT